GGAAGGGGGGCTGATTCTGAGTTTGTGGGGTTATACGCAAGCAGAAGACTTTTTCTTGATATTTCAGTTTCCTTGCTTTTCTGGTTGCTGATTAATAAATTTCGCATCAAAACCTTCACGTGACCGTACGTCAAAACCTTCATTTGACTTCGCATGAAGAACCATTGTGCCTTTACTTTGAATTTTTGCAGGCTTTTTGCAGGACTAAAATCAAAATTACTTTTTTTTTTTGCAGGTACTGCTGTCGTGATCATCAAGCTATGGACTGGAACACGCATAAAAAAACGTGCCCGTCAAAACCGGAGCAGTCCAAGATTGTTTCGGACGTGGAGCAACCCTCTGCAGTTCTCGATGAGAAACAGTAAGTCAAGTTTCTTTGCGTATTGTACTGCAACAGTTGCACAAAGCGCGTTTTGTTGAGACTATGCGTGTATGTTTGTGTATGTATGCATCTGTGTATGTGTGTGTGTATGCGTGTGTTTGTGTGTGTGTGTGTGTGCGCGCGCTTTTCCCCGAATTTTTTACCTCGGGAACCAGAAACGCTGGAAAACCGAAATCTTAGGGGGATATCCCCTACCCAAGTGATTTCGAAAACTTAAATTCAGCCGCATAGCTCTCACGTGCAGTTACGTGAAAGTTTTGGCGCTCAAATTGTAAACTCGGAATTAAAAAAACTGAGTTGGGATTTCAGGAGAACCTTCACGTACGAAGACGCGGAAGTTCTTACTTCAAAACTTACAACTCAGGAATCACATGAGGTAGAAAGCTGAAATTTTAGGTCAATGGTTTCTACCAGCATGTGACCAGCGAATGTAAATTCAGCTGTACGTACGCCTGGGTCCCATATATGGACAAGTGAAAGTTTTGGTGCGAAAATTCTTGGTTTGGGGACTAGAAACGTTAGGAAATTGAATTTTAGATGTATTTCCCTTGCTTTCGTACGACGGAATAATCTATAATTCAGCTTTTACCCTTTCTAGGTCTCGCGTACGGCAAGTGGAATTAAGGCCAGAAAATCACAAACTTGGAAAACAGAAAAATCAGAACTTATAATTTAAGGAGGGCAACTACATGCGCCGGAAATTTCAAGTTCAGCTTGTACGTGAGCCCATGTTTTATGCACGGACGTGCGTACTTTGGCGGGTATTTCCTAACACCGGAACTAGGTAAGGCCGGAAGCCGAAATTTTGAGAGGATATTTCTTGTCCATGTGTGATATCAGAATTTTAGATTCAGCCCCCACACACACGCCTGGATCACGCGCACAGAAAAATGCAAGTTTTATCTGAACGAAGTATGCCGACGGTTTCTGCACATACCAAGCAGCAAAGCAGTGAACATTTCTAACAGCAAATGTCCGTTACATAGAAATGCAAAAAATGCATAATCGCATTAGCTATCCTGGTGGCGCAGCTATTTTATTTTCTATGGTGAAGTGGTAGTAGAGTTTTGGAAGAGCAAATTTAAAGGAATTTAAAAACTGCGGAAGAAGATTCATGTTCTGTTGCGTTTTCGTTATGGAGTTGCTTATTCCATATAGGTCCATATTTACGGAGGGAGCGACTGAAATGAGTGGTCACACTTTTTATGCGTTTTTCGCAGCTATGCAATGCAGGAAACGCATATTGACTAGAGATTGTCTGTGTGTGTGTGCGTGTGTGTGTGTGTGTGTGTGTTCGTCTGTACCGATTTTTTATCTCGAGACCGGCAAAAGCCATACGGCTGCAACTTTGGGGACATAATCTACCTGCAAGTACGGGCCCCCTTCCTCAAAATGGGCGGTCTTACCCGCGTAGTACTCGCGTAAGAGTCCGCCAAAATTTTTTTAGGGTAAGTTGATAACTCGCGAACCAAAAAAGCTAAAAAGCTGAAATTTTAACGGAATGTTCCCCGTCCAAGTATATACTAATGAGCTCAAATTCAACCCCCGGATAAGCGTGGCACCCGCGTACGGGCCCGCCAAAATTTTCCCGCGTAAATTCATAACTCGGGGATCTGAGATGCTAGAAATCTGGAATTTTAAGGGGGCGCTTCCTGCCAGTTTTGGCGGCCCAGTCTTAATTTGTTTAGCTAGAAGGATTTACCAAAAAACCGATACCGGTAGCGAAAAGAACTGCGGGGAACTATGCAAAAAAAGCATATTCGCACGGGCAGCCCGTGTGTTGGCCAATTATTATACTTTAATCATTCGTCCAGGTAGAAGTGCAGGGAGAGGGAACGCTGACAGATGAGGCTAAAAATTTTGCCAAAAGTGCATTAAAGCACAACAGAAATATGTGTAACTGGCAAATACTGTGTAGATGGATCAACTATAATTTACCTCGCTGTAAAAAGGCAATTTTCCGATTTGCTTTGACCAAAGCTACATAGTTTGCTAGTGATTTTGATGTTTGTTACATTTTTTGAAGGAATTACCAGCTGAACAGTTCTCTCGACAGTAGTTTTTGGCAAAATTTAAGCAATTTTTGCAATATTGATGTATATTGAGGATAAGGTTACATCAAGAAAAAAAATCGATTTTCTCTTGTCCGGAAAGTGCTTTGTGTTGCGAGAATTTTGAGTGAGGGAGCGGATTAAATTTGGAAGCAAGTTATTGTATTTGAAAATTAGTAATAGTTAAAGAGAAAGTAATGTAAAGAAAGAAAGAAAAAGGAAAAAGAAGATGGAAAAAAAGGAAAAAAGAGAAGATGGAAAAGAATTATAACTTTTGAATTTTTTAAAAATTATTTTTATAAAAAATTTTTTTAAAAAAAATTGCTAAGAAATGTTTCGTTTCATTAAGTCGTATACATTTTTTACCGTTGCCACAGCTGGACCTGGTCAGTACGACGATTGTGATAACGAAATTAATTAGGGTAGTTAAATATGAGAGGGGTTTGATATTGATGTAAGTAGTGGGAAAGGTAAAATATTAAAAAAATTGATGAAAAGGAAAGGGGAAAGTGAGATTGTTTTACTGAATATGAGTTTAGCGGTTCTTATACTGTTTGGCATAGTGTAATAATGTCACTGTTGCGACCGTTGCTGAATGCAGCTGTGAAGTGTTTTTGGCTCAAAGCCAAAGTTTTTTTTTTTGTTTGTATTCTTAATTATATAATTATTTGATCTATTTGTTCCGAAATTTCACTGGTAGCGATTTTTTGATTGATAGTATTAAATTTTATAAATTTTTTTTCAGAAATGATAGCGATTGTTGGGCAAAACCAGTACGAAGCGTCGCAGCAAATGTGTTTGTTTTCCCGGAATATGCAGTTGAGATGGAGTTGGATTACAGCAGAAATCTCAACACCACTACTGACTCTGATAATGATGAAGTTGAGGATGATAACGGCGATAATCACACTGATACGGCAGGGAAAAATATGGAGGAATATCAAAGATATATCAAAAAACATCCGGTTCGTTGTTAATTATTAATTTTTGCCACAGTTTTCGGTGTTGACTGCATTGCGAAGCAACTATGTGGTTAAAGGCAGCGATAATGTATTGAATTGATTGCTGGATTTTTCCGCATCGAAAAATTCCTGTGTTTCTGGTTCACCCTTTCCGGACTAGCAACTGCATAAAGGCAGGAGACGGATGTTGTATTTTTTCCATGCATACAGCAGAATTTTATTATAAATTTCGTGATACTATCAGTTCATAAAATTGGCTTATTTTCAGTAATGAAATATTCAGCACCCGTTTCATGAACTCTCCAGCACTGATTTTCCTGGATCAAATAAAAATTATCTTAAATATTTGCTTCTGCACTTGCTCGCCTTGCTTTCTGTTCGCTAAGCTGATTATCGCATGATTGTAGCATGAAAGTAATATGAAGAACCTAAAAAAGAAGGCAAGAATAGAACGAACTATGTAGTGCAAGATGTAGAAATATTGATGGAACAGGAAAAATAAGTACGAGAGAGTTATGACGTTTCGGCCCATGAAGTCATATACGTCTTAGCTCGACACCGCAACTGGACCTCGTCAGTATGACGGTCGCAGTGTTCAGAGAATGGGTTTTCACAGGCTGATGTCACTCCCGTTCTAACTCCCTTCCCTCTCCTTTTCCCATCACTTACCTTTCAAAAAAAAATTTTTTTTGAGTTACGGTACCCAGAGTAAGGTTTTTTGAGGACTTCATACAGTAAATTCTTTTATTTTAATCATCCTGGGCTTTGATAAAATACGCTTACCCACCAGGTAGGCTTACCCAACATTTATGGGAAGTGAAGCGTGGCTGCGGGACGTGGTATTTCTGTATTTTTCCGCTTTCTATTGCGATTATAACAATCTGGTGAAGATTTTCAATCCAAAACTTATTCACCTAACACACATATGGTCTGAATTCGCTTCTTGCATATCCATTTCTATTAATATTTTTAAACTTTTTTCTTTTGCAAATGCAGGGCTTGTGCGATATCAACTTTGGCGATTTGGAGGAACTGGAAGATTCTGCAGAAAATGATGTTTTATTCAAACGATTTCATAAGGTTTGTTGTTTGTAGTTTCAAATTAATTTACAATAATTTCTTTATCTTCGTGTTTTCTTTAAGAGTAAACGTGCATATGCGTAATGTGCAAAATCTTGCTTTGATAAGGAGGTTCTCCGCCGCTGGTAATCCGAGAGACCCACATCTTGTTTCTCTGTTGATTTGTTTGAAATAATTTAAGCCAAAATATTTTGCATGCCTGGCAAAATCCCTGCGCTGGCATACTTTTCACTTTACTGGCTAGCCATCAACATTGCATACCAGTGAATGCTACTGAGGGCCGAAAAAATTGGCCTTTCTTTTGATCCGGAAAATTGGTTGGGAAATCGAATAATTTAGGAAAGGGTAGCTGCACCAGTTGTCTGGATGGATATAGAGCTAAATGTTGTTAGTTTCAGTGATCTTGATGAGATACAAGTGCCCTATTCATTTTCTACCTTTACATCAAAGGTAAAAAATATGTTAGGTAGTGCAAAAGTATATGACAGAGTTATATCTATAGGGAAACACGTGCCAAGCCTTCGACTCTGGGTTGATAATCTGTGGTATGTGGCATTGAAATGTGGGCTGATAGATATTTAAAGTGTCTAGTGCAAGATCTTGGTTAATTCTGATTTGTCTTATTTTAACCCAAGTTGTAGATTCATCTTATTTGATTCTAGCATCAGAAATTCAAACTTCTTTTAGTTTTTTCTGATTCTGGAAAACAAAAAATAATCACCAATAATACTGGCCGCCATTACTGTGAAACTGACAAATCATGAGGTATTAAAGGGGAACACATTTTTGTGCAGACCGAACGCCCCCCTCTCCTGCTCCC